CAGATATTGTCCTTTTGATGTGACATGTGGATGGGATGTTTAATATGTTGTGGAAAAGGAGTGAAAGGAATTTCCTCCCTTACATGGTTCTTTTTTTTTTTTTTACTGCAAACTGCATTGTCATGCAAAGCAGATGAGAGGATGCCCAAATAGGACAAAAAGAATGAGATGCAGAGAAAATAAGTGCAGAGGTTTGGAAGCTACAGTGAGTTATGGTAACCCCAAACACTGTCAAGCTGTTTGGGCTGGAGCAACTGTACATATAACACCCTCCTCTGTACGAACAAAACCATGAAGTAACCAGAGCATGAACTGTTATTGTAGTGAAGGAAGGGGAAGCCAGTGTAAAAAGATACAGTCTGCTTTGTGATTACTGAGTTAGCCCCACACTTTGTTGACTTTGTTCTGCTTTGCGAAAAGTGTGAGGAACGAGCAGGAAAAACGATGCCTATGGAACAGACAGAAAAGCCTGACTTCATGTGAAAATTATTTGTGCAATGCCGGTTTCCACATTGCTGAATCCCGCTAAGCCCATCGAGGTCTGTGGCCTGAGCCGGTGTGCTTTACACACCTCTGAGCGCGCACACACACACACACACAAATTCCTCTGCAGTTATCCTTATTTCACAGCAAATGTTTTGTCTCGTGTAAGAATAATAAAGATAAACTTTTGATAAAAGGCTACATATGAGAGACGTTTAAGAAGAAATGATGTTTTGCACTGATAATCAAGACTAAAAGCTTGGGTTATGTAATCATATAAATAGAAATGGGACTGAATTGTTTACACAACCTTGTAAATTACTTTCTTAAATGGGGAAAAAACAAACCAAAGATATAGGACAATAATTTGCCATTGACAGAATAAACTGTGACTTCCTGTCGGATCATTCCTTCTAAAAGGACAACATTTATCTCTAAATATTTCATTCCACATCGGCAGTCATGGCCACTAATGTGCTGGCTGGAGTTACGCACTTTGAACTCCATCACACAACAAAGAGAAGCAGGAGTTTTTGTGTTAGCATCGACTCGCTGGCCTCCATTGAGTGTTTATTTGTCCGTTCCATTTATATCTCTCCATCCAGCTGTCCGCGACTTCCCACAGTCCAATAGGTGACTCTGTGAGGCAACATCTGGATTCCTTCCAGCCCCTGTCTATTCTAAATTAACAACACTGCGATGGCTTTCTTCTCTCCTTGTCAAGGTGCCAGAAGACGAAAGCACTTAAACCACAAGTGTGAATGTGTGATGACAAAGCAGCAGAGAAGCGGTCACCTGAGAAACTCCTTGTGTTCTCTACACTGTGCAGTATTTATGTGAGCAGATCACTTTACTCGCAGTATACATTAACTCTATAGGACTAAGTGAGAGGCTGCAGTTGTGCTGTTTTTGTTGATGCTAAATTGTTTTTCTGTGGAGTGAAGAGTCTTTGCTAAACCTTATTTGGGGCACAGACAGAAATAGATAAGCTAAGTTTAAGTCTCTGTAATAAACTAGATCACATCAGCATGACTTTCCCCTGAGCACCTCTATGTCATAAACTGGATGCAGAAGGAGGGCATGGAGTTCATAAGGCAACATAATAATAACATTAGTAAACCATAACCAGTAAAAATCACATCCAATCTGCCTGTAAAGTTGAAGCTGGCATCAGCCTCGAGTCTCCATCAGCAGCACAGAGCTGCCACAGTGTGCTCAACCAGTGGCAATGCACTACAGGAATTTAGAAAGGAAATGCAAGCTACCGCACTCCCTGCTCACAGAATTAACATCTGTAACAGATTTTTCTTTTTTTTTGGCATGTGTGCATGTGTGTGTCCCCGTTATGAGAAAATGTGACAGGACACAAGCTGCTGACGTGCTGCCTTGTTTAATGCACTGCTCTCCGTGAATATCGAGGAATACCAGTGGGACAGCGCTGCCTCTCTTGCGCTGACAAAAATAGCCATCATGTCCACTGAGAGTTCAGCCACAGCCTCCAAGCTGAACATGTTTACAGAAAAAAAAAAAAGGAATTGTTTTTCAAGAGTTTGCAAGCTAGCACAAATGATATTTACTACGCACAAAGCCTTAAAACTTTTTTATCGTAACCGGATTTAAGAACATAAATGCTTAGATTATCAAGAGAGATTTTAAGTGGACTGCAACGGCCAAGATGGTTACTGTCACAAAGGATTTACTCATCCTCCAACCAAGTCTGTCTGACTACAGCAGAAAAACCACACTGACATGTGGTTTTCTTTTTTTCTGCCAACTCCACAGATATTTTGGTTTGTTAATTTTGGGTAGGTTTATCCTGCTCGTGTTCCTTGAGATAGATTTATTTTTCCCTCACCCCAAGGCCGTCTTGAATTCCTGTAGCTTTGTACGTGTTGCAAAGTAAACACGTTAACAGGCAGATTTAAATATGCTGTTTTTGGGGCTGCATGGGAGTTCGGGAAGGTGGAGACATTTTCATGCGACTTGGCCACCCATAGATGGGATAAAATTCAACTACTTCAGCATGTGAAAGATAAATCTGCTTGAAGCTGGTTGTTACTTGAGTTCAGGTGACTAGTTGCAGCTAGTTCGAGACTGGAAAATAAAAAGAAGCACTGTAGATGACGTGTTGCTGTGAAATAACAGACCTTCCCATCTGTCTAGAGAAAAAGGAATTTATAGATTTTCGCTTTACTACAACCAATAAAATAAAAGTCATTTATTCACTTTCCTGGAGGAGACACATCCACTCGACCTGTTCAGGCCAGTCTGCGCAGCCACATTATTGACATTTCATTTGCATGCAAGCTTTGACCTTTGCAGCACAATCTGGTCAGGATGTTCCACTGTTTAAGCGGGACCCAATACAATGCATGAGCTCTATGTGATTTCTTTATTTGTAAAGTCCAGGTTTATTGATCTGTTGTTTCCAAAAGAAGAAACCATTGTTACAAAACTCCACCCATACCGAGAGTCAATCGTGTGTCAAAATTCATCTTTAAAGACTCAAAAGCACATAAGAGACACAGTCTGAATAAAAAAATACAAAGACTGCTACTTCTGCTCCTTGCCCCAAAGCAGATCAAGTGGCAAAATCCTGTTGGTTTGTCTCAACACTGGATGATGGATAATTGGTCGAGCCCCATCAGAAATCAGTCTTTAATGATCCAGTATTTAAAAAGCTGTTTTGGATCAGTTTATGCTTGGATGGTGCTCTTTGCGCTGAAAGCCAAGTAGTAGACCAGGATACCAATGAGGGCAGCAACCACTTCAGTAGACACCCATGGGCCATTCCATGCACCCTGTAGTGAGCAGGGGGGGGAAAGGAAACAGGTTTAAGGACAAGAGTAAATAAGGCAAATGAGGGACAGCCAATCAGAAGAAAGTTGGCTTAAATAGTAGTTTTATGGTTTTAAATGGAGAGAGTTTCAGAGTGAACGGCCTGTGGGGCTGCACAAGTGCCAATAAGAGGCAGATAAGGTTTATTTTTAAATGAGAATCACACAAAGCGAAAGGTGGAACTGGAGTTTCATGTTTACATGAGTTTGTTGTTTTGAATGAATGCAGAGATTCCAACCATAAATCAGACACTGGCCCCTTGGATGCATCCGCACAGGAAACAGCAGAGAGACCGCAGCAAGTCAGTGACATTTGGTAACGTCAAGCACATGGGGGAAAAAAATGCTGGCAACGTGAAATCGACGGACCCCTGAGTCAAACTTTTTGCAACTCTAAAGAGAGCAATTTAAGCCACTGCTAATGAGAGCGTAACATCCTGTTGATTGTATGACGGTATGATGCATGAGTGGGAGGTAAATAAAGTTAGAGGGTTACCTGCACACTATCATGTCAAATTTCTGGTAATCATGTGTACTTAAGTCCAAAGTTCACTTGCCATTTGCTCTTCTTTAAGCTTCACTAATTCTTAAGGAAACAATATGACTACTCTGCAAAATAGAGGCCTGTAAGAGTGTGCAGTCAGGCGATAATCTCTCTGGGTTTATTCATTCACTGGAGACCTTTCAAACATGCCAGGAAGTTACGTGATACTTGATGTAAGCTCACTAAAGCTGATACAATTTAAGGGCGTTTACTGGCTTTTAATTTACAAGATAGCAGGATCATGACTCAAGTGATGTGTTCAGTCTGAGATCCTAGAAGAAACTCACCCTGTGGTCAATGTTGACAGAGAAGAGAGGGTGAATGGCATTTACGTCTTCATTGTTTCTCTGGGCCTGGAGCAAATGAGATTTACAGATTTAATTGAAATTAAAGCATATTTGATTATAAAGACAACTCATTTCAAAACAAGTGGAGCTCAAGCAAAGGAAACTGTAAGCTGATCAACAACACATAATACACTAACCTTGCGCAGGGCACTGTAGGACTCCTCATCGAAGAATTTGACCTGATATGTTCCAGAGGTTGCCTGTTTGTGAGGAAGACTCCAGGACACCTGATGGAAGAAAGTACACATTTAATAATAGCTGATTATTTACTTTTTTTTGTTTCTTTAAGATACTTTTAGTTTAAAAATGTGTCTAAATGTAAAGCCTCGAGTCTGTACTAAAAGGCAAACGTGTATTTTAATGGCCTGCTGATGAAAGGGTTAGGGATAAATGTAAACTACTGTCTAAGCAAGTCATAAGGTACAAGTATCCTAATGACCCCGGTAGTCCTTATTTGAAAAAGACACTCACATATAGTAAATCAACAATATTTCTTTCTTTTTTTATAAGCTCTACATGAGATTGTTCATCTGTGAAGGGTCAATAAACCTCGGGGCAGCCACCTAATCAAAGACATCCTGTGACTATTAATTCAATAGAAATTACTTTTGACAAAGGAATTTAATATATTTTTATTGCACTGGTGTGTGTGTGTATTAGTGTGTTGGTTCACTTAATTTCTATAATTTGCTGTCCACTTTTTCCTTTTTATTGCAATTTACTGAAATTACTGCTACAAGAAGTCATGACCAAACTGGCAGGAAAATCCAGTTAAAGGGCAGCATGTTTTGATATCAATATGTACGTACGAATCCATCCAGCATAGTGAAAATGTATAACAAGAGGAAGTACTTTGATATTTTCTCCCACCTTTGCTTATAAGCTTTAAGGGTGGTCTCAATTAAGAGCTGATCAGTATAGGCTAATACCAGCCAACTGACTGCTGTGAGTCTATCAGTAAATGAGATTACATTTACATATATCTGTAACTAATATTTATTAGTTGTGTAATACTGATTTGGTGCTGTCTAATCTTGGCTGAAAAAATTCAAACCGTTTCTGAAACTTTTTATAATGAGACATTATTACTGGCACAAAGCTGATAAAAACAATGAGAAATAAAGCAGTATCGGGTAAAACTGTAACCACGATCATCTGGCTCATAATAGATTTAGACAGCACTGAAATTATTGTGACTATATGTTCAACCTTCTGTAGTTCAGTACCCATAAATCTACAAAGTGCTACTACGTTTTCAGCTGCTCCCTTTGTAGGGGTCATCACAGTGGATCGTTTGCCACCAGCTTCACCTGCACTCTTCCTCTTTTTCTCCTTCCTGGCTGCTTCATACTCAACATCCTTTGTCCAGTGTACATTTAGAGTTTCCTACTCTCACCTAGACTAGCCTCCTTCTCTCTCCCTGCCTCCTATCATCTTTTCCCCTTCTCCTCTTAATTTGTCGTCAGTCAGTAGTAGCACACTATCAAGCAGCATCCTGTTGGCCAGCAGCACTGGAGGTGGCCATTGTTGTTAACCTGGGCCCCGATCGATCTGGTATGGAAACCTTTTCCTTGATGCCCCGCATGTTTGATTTGGCAAAGATTTTACACCAGATGGCCTTCTTGATGCAAACCTCCCCTTTCATCCAGGCTTGAGACTGATTGATTTTTTTCACTCTGCTAACAAATCAGATTCAGTAAAAGCAAGTGCTTTGACCTGTAGCCACATGTGAATCCATACCTGGTACTTTCCAACGTCCTGTCCTCTGGTTACAGGGAATTGTCTTCCATTGACATCAGCATACAGCGTTACGCTCTGCAGTGAGCAGAAATCACCATGAGTGCTCCAGTAGCATCAGTACATCATTGTGCTGCTGGCTGTGTTAGAGGTGGACAGTTACCTGTGCTCCGTTGGCGCAGGTCAGGCTGAGTTCAACGATGAAGACAGACTCTGATGAGATGACGGCGTCAGAGGTGGTGTAGGCCGACGGAGTGATGACTGGGTCCGTGCAGCTCTCTCCTATGGGCACAAAGAGCAGAGTTGAGGTCAGCTGAAATCCTGCACATGATCATCTACACAGCATCTATAGATAATACAACTTTCACCACTCTGCCCTCCTGTGGCTACGAGATTGCGGGTAGTGATTCAATGAATTAGCTACTAGCTAAAGCTGATTAGCATTACAGGCTTATTAACCCGGTATTCTCTCTTACAGCGTTGTCTTACCTGAGCAGGCGACCACCAGCAGCGCAAAGAAGGCGGCTATCCGGATCATCGTGACGTCTCGGAGGTTGTTTAAGAGGTTTCGTGTTGCTCCTGAGGTCCAGTTGCCTGAGTGCTCGGCTCCTTCCAAACAGTAAAAAGGAAGAAGTCCACCTCAGCTCACAGCGCTTCTGCACCTCTGCGTCTGCGCACCAATGACGTGGACTCTCGAAACCGCAGAGCACCCTGGGAAAGTGCCCCGTCGACACGTCATCAGAATCAAAATGGCCGGAAGTCAGTAAATGATGGATCTAAACAGCTTTAACAAACTGACCTTATTTATTTTATTTATTTATTTTTTACAAATTTCTAATGAAAGCCTCCCTCATGGTCATTCACACCACAGCAAAGTAATAAAGTAATAGACAGACAATTAACAGAAAAGTTTAAACTGGACAAAAGTAAAAATAAATAAACGAGTGAAAGAAGTAAAGAAATAAATAATACACTTTCTGTGAATTACAAAAAACGTTGTTTTAGAAATAACAGCACAGTTTGGGGAATTAGATTATTATTTTTCAATTTAAGCCCAGAGTTGTGTTGATATATTTGTTTTATTTAATACTAGAGCATTTGTTTATAATATAGAATGGAGGAGACATGCGGTTGAGAGTGCACTTCTTGTTCTTATATTAAGATATCGCATGGATCAAATGTGCACTTAAACTTCTTTACAATGAAAGAAAGTGGAGGTTCACTTAGAATCAAAGTATGTGGCCCATGATTTACAATGAGTTTGACATCCTTGGGGATCTAGGGTATACAGAAATTTGTGACATTGCCTTTGAAAAATATGTAATAATTCAGTTATAATAATATATATAATAATAATTATTATTATCATTAATTATCTCCACCTTTATAGACAGGTTGGACAAAGATGAGTGTCCAGTAGAGGGAACTTAAGAAATCTCTTTATTAGATATTTTGTGATTCTCCTAAATTGAAAATCATTAAAAAAAAAATGTACTCAGGCTACTGAGACACACCTTGGTGAAAGTCAGCAGACGACCTGATTGTGGTGCTTTGTTAATAAATGATGATCCCTCCATGTTCAGGGTGATTTGCTTCCCTAAGTAAAGAAGAGTGAGGCCTATTTTTTTAAACATACCTTTAAGTGATTTGAAGCAATATAAATCAAATTTAAATAAATTAAACAGGACAAGACACCAACAGAGATATTGGTATAGATTGAGCAGTGGTAAGGAGCTTAGATGTTTGGAGCGATTTTGGATGTTTGGAATAGCGTCCCAAGCATATTCCACTGAAGGTTTTCCCAGGGACATCCACAGGGCGGGACACCTGGGAGAAACCCAGAAAACACTGAAAAGAATACATCTCGTCTGGCCTTCAATTACTGACGGAGGCCCCAGAGGCATCTAGCCAATGTTGCATGAGAAAGGAGCATCTCGACTACTTTTACTTAAGCCCGAATATATTATTCTATGTATAAAACCCCAGGATGAAGAAAAGAAATGCAAGTTATAGTCATGTTTTACATACACATCTAATGAAGCAGTAAGCCTAGACAAATTATTTATTCAGCATGTAGTTCAAATATACAGATAAATCATAAAGAGATAAGTAGGAATTGACGTTTACAACTATAACATTCACAGTTTTCTTGACTTTGTGCCAGCATCTCATTTTGACAGAAATTTGATTAAGAGTGTGCACTTATGCCTGTATTGACTAAAAATTATTGACTGGCAGGGCAGCTGTTTAATATAATAAGAAAGGAAGTGCAAATATCAAAAATGCCTACAAACACATTGGTGCATTTCAAGTAGTTCACAGTTTTGACATAGTACCGCAGGCCTGTGGAAATCTGCTGTACATCACATGTAAGACAGGACTGAGTCAAGGAGACCTCAGAGAAAGGACTCTCAGTCAAGGATCTCAGGTTTCTAGAAATAGATGTGCTGAAAGCTACTGTCAAAGGCCTTCACGCTACACCTCAACTTCCATTAGTATCATCTCTCCCTCGCCACGTGTGTCTTCTTGTGCCATTGCTGATCATCTCAGTCCGCTGCATCTGCTGATTTGAAGAGCCCTGTTCCTCTCCCCCTGCGCCCATCCTGCTTTCCTTTCTTCTGGGGAGTCTGGACTGAGGGGGAGGACACAGTGGGGGTGGGATCCTGATGGGTTTGTCGAATCAAAAGCTCCTTAAAGACTGAGTCCATCTGGCGACAGACTTCCTGTAATGTGAAAATAAAAAAGTACGGATGAGAGAGGAAACAGGGGGAAGTGTCCGTTTTCTCTATTTTTCGACTTCAGAACTTCTGTTTCTGCTCGCCGCTCTTGGCAATGACTAATTACTCTGCATAGTAATTTACTGAACATCACTCAGATTTTCGTAAGCAGGAAACCCAGACTGTGGGTTTCCTGCTACCGTTAACACTTAGTTCTTCTTTTTGGTTATCAAAAATGGATTTTTTTCAAAAAAATAAAAAAAAATTTTAAAAAAGGAAGGACAGCCCAGCCACTTGCTCTTTAGCAGCAGCACATTTCCAAGTACAGTTTGGCTCATTGTCCCCTTTAGCAACCTCTGATGTTGTAACGCTTACAGCTACAGACACAGATTACTGTGAGAACCCTTTATAATGGCTTCATTTAAAGTTGGCTCATTGCACAATGATGCGGTATTTTTCTTTTTAAAGACATTTATTAGGTTATAAACAGAGAGCTATAAGAAAAACAAGACACACCTTATCTACTCGAGAGGCTATATCCTCAGATGACCGTCGCTGGTAGCTGTATGCAGAAAGAGATCAGTCTGAATAATTATGTTTTACTCAAGCACAGTCAGTCAGCTGTTGTTGGGTTACTTACTCTTGCCCATAACAAGGAGAGGGCATCCTCCTTGGCTTACATTGCGGCCCAACAGGAATCTGAAGTGTGCACTTTCCACCTGAACCGAAGCTGCCTCCTCCTGGTGCAGCTGTTAATTTGTGTTCTAGTGCCCCGCTGCTATTAGCTCTGGGGCGTTGTCCCCTTCTGGGTGTTGCTACTCCAGACATGGACATACTTGTGCTGTTGTCAGCCAAAAAGCCCATTTCTAAATCTGCAGCAAAGCAAATGTATACATCCTTTGTTATTCTTCAACGACATCATTATATATTTTTAATGAAGCGATGAACTGAAATAGCCACATAAACTTACCATCTTTGCTAGGGGTGTACTCAGTTTCTATATCTCCATCAACATTGGTCTCTCTGTGAAGTAAAGAGCATAATATAATCATTCCACAATACACCCCCCAACCCCCGCATGTTATGTGAACTACACTTTTTCACTGTACCCGTCATCCAGTTCTAGTGTCATGCATTTCTCATAAACTGGTCCCGGCACTTCGCTCTGAGTGGGGAAGATGCTTTCTTGCTCAATGATGATGTCCTTCACCAGGGCATTGATCTGAGGCTGCAGGGTCACGACGTCGTCATCATGAGCCCCTCTTATCAGGCTCGGGCCAAAACACACGGCCAGATTGTAAGGTTGCATCATGTTCTCGTCACTATACTCCGACACACTGAAGGCAGAGAGAGAGGAGTAAATAAAGAAACAAAGAAAAATTTAAGTTGGTTAATTTTATTGGTTGTTTTTACCTCATATAATCTTATTTAACTGCACTAACAGTGGATGTTAATGATTCTCACAGAATGATTCAGCAATGAGAAAAAACAAGGCAAAAATTCAGGTTTTCCATATTCAAGTCACAGGTAACGACACTCACTGATAAAGGAATGCAAAGAGGTATCTCATGACGATGATAGCAGGCTCGGGGAAGGAAGAAATCACAGCTTTCAGCTCAGCTGCTCGCTCTGCCTCATTCTTTATTTCTGGAAAACAAAAAGGTGATGAAATAAAAGAGAAGTTGCTGCTGAGCATCCTTAGCCACACTAATTATATCCACAGGTGCACAAGAACACTCACGGGCATGCTCCAGGAGCAGATTGGTGCTGTCAAGGGGGAAGAGTGGATTATCTAAACCCCTGAAGTAAAGCTTCAGCACTCCAGCCACCGAGTCAAGGTCATAACTCCCCTCAGCCAAAGGGTCCTCTCCTGCAGGGGAAGCCCATGGCACACTGCCCCACATTATTAATGCTCCATGGAGAGGAGCACTATGAATAGAAGTTAATCTAACAAACACACACACCCCTACCTCGCTCAAAAGCGTCCCTGAGGTTATTGACCTCCAACTGAGACCCCGGCACTCTAAATATCCCTTCATGGTGGAGTCCTGATGGGCAGACAGATTATCGCAGTGGTCTAAAATGAGTGCCTGTTTCCCTCAGTCACTTTTAAACACAAGAGGCTAGATGTATGTGTGTCTGCAGTTGTCTTTTTACAATAACATCTAATGGTTTAATGTTACTTCAGCAATGAAGACTCACCATGGAGGTTGATATAGCGAATGCAGCTTTCCACAACAATTGGAATCTGTTGTCCTGATGCCTGAATTAAAAATAAACAATAAATTTCACTGACTCATCACAAGTCAAAGGGAAAAACTAAAATGACAACGAGAGAGCTGAAAGAGGAAACCGGTGTTACCGTTATGAAGGACAGCATGTCTCCATTGAAAAGTTTTTGGTTGTGCATCAAATTGGCACTCGAGTGATTCTTTCTGACACGCATAGACTTTCCAGTGTGTCTGGAGAATGACACACAGGACCGTGGAGGCACAGTGTTAAGACTGGTAGCATGAATAAATAAAAACGATGACTCAGCGACAACTGTTAAAAATAATTATATTCATACCGAGGCTGATGGTCATTTGATACTTCAGCTGGGAAGAAAAGAAAAAGGACGTAACATATGATAAGAGCAATCCGTTTTAAAAAGGAGAAATACTCTGTGTTTGGTATTTTGTTTGTGACACAGAGTCAACAACTTGTGGTATTGTAACGTGAGAAATGCAGAAGCAATACCTTTTTCTACAGCTTCTTTAAGCAGATCATGTTTAACTTGCAGTTTAGATACAAGAGAGCTGCCAACGAGGTACTCCTTTACTTTCTGTAAAACAAATTACACCGATCAGATTAGTATTTTTTTTATCGTTACCACACCAACTGCACATCATTGCTGTTGCCCCCAAATTTTACCGACTCACAGTAAAGTAGAGGTATTCTATTTCCTGCAGGTTGGCCCGTCGTCGAGTGGCGCTGGGCTTTACAGTCAGATTTTCAGTGCTGCCCTCCTGAGATGAAGGCTCCAGATCATCGCCGATGCCCTCCAGCAGAGAAGCCTGGGCTGCTGACATGCTCTTATTAACCTATGTGAGAGCAGCAGGGTGAGAGGTGTGTTGTGTAGATACCCACATTTGAGACATTATGTCACTTTCAAGTGCCAGCAGAACTGCTGAGATTTATACTTGTCTTACACACTGAGATCATGAGAACTATTAAAAAAGGGCTAAATATAGTCAATAATGAGGTGGAAGGCGTTCTCGCCTTTTATTATAGTGCTTTTGCATCTTCATCACTTTTACTTCCTTTCTGTACTTGAGGCTGTGATGCTTTAATAAGTTTAACTAAAATTAAAATAAGGAAACAAGAAGAAATTTTCATAGACTATTTGCAGCCTCGTTAAAATTCAAAATATGATAACGAGCAGCCCTGGTTGATGCGATTTTCTTTACCTCCTCAGTTTCCTGGGTGACGGCTTGCAGTCGAGTTTGTATCTGTTTGAATCTGGTCTCCAGTTCGCATATCATCTCACACTCCGCACTGACCTGAGTAACCTGAAATAAGATAAGATAAGATAGATAAGATAGAACTTTATTAATCCCTCGGGTGGGTTCCTCTGGGAAATTCGATTTCCAAAAAGCACAGCACCGACAGAATGCAAGGGAGTCTAGAGTTGTTCCACACACTTAATATATAAAGTTCCTTTACATAATTTAATCAAAATGCACACCTGGTCCCCATCGTGGGGCTGATAGGGGAAGCGTAGGGGCATAGAGAAGGTGTTGTAGTTGTCCTGCAGGAGGATGTCTCTATCCCGGCTCTGGTCCAGTCTAGACACGGTCTCCTCTATTTGCTGCAGGCCTGTGCTCAGGTTATCCTGGGCCTTCCACCGTCTTGACAAGTAGGCCTGCATCACCCTGCCCAAAGTGGTGTGGTAACCTGTATCTGCACACTGGAGGAGGAAACTGAATTTAGAATCACTTCATTCATTCGGGAGCTTTCAGATCATGACAGAAGGAATGGAAACAATGAGCGCTGGGGTTCAAATGACATGAGAGATCATGACCTTGAGTGCTATGTAGGGTTTTTGTATGTTGAAAGGAAAAGGTGACTGATGTACTCACATCTATGAGAGTAGAGATGTCTTGCAGGTAGTACTTATTCATGGAGGAATTGGCTGCAGCCAGGTTTAGGAGGTACTCATTTCGGGCCTTGCTGCACTTCAGCTTTATTTCTTGGACTTTAATTTGTCTCTACAGCACATAAACATCGTCAGTAAGAGTCACATGATACGTGCATGCACGCACATGACACCAAGCATTTACCTTTTCTATCAGCCTCTCCAGTTTTTTATTTGCGCTCTGCTTCTGCTTTTCCTCTTGCTTCTCTGCTTCCCTCAGCTTCCCCTCTGCACAGACATAGTCTGAGTGGTACTGGTAGTATGTTCGCCATGCCTGCACACAGGCACAAAAAGCAATGCTTTCCTCTGTGTACTTAAGAAACGGAAAACATTCTGTGTGGTTGGTTTCTCACGTACCGCCTGTAGCTCTGTGGTAACCTTGAGTAGCCCATCTTGTAGCTGAATGCAGATGTCTTTACTCTGGAAAACACAGACAAAATATCAGAGAAGTGAGATGACACGACACAGCAAGGACACAGTGACCCACGTCATACTTTAAATATCAAGATTTGGAAAAAACATGAACTGGTGGTTAAAGTGAGAATGGAAAAACGATAACAGAGCAAGTATTATGTCATTTGCACTGCAGAAGTGCATGGCAGTGTGTTCGTGGGTGAGCGCTTGCAGTAGTACCTTCTTTGCAAGGCGCTGTGTGTACTCCACACAATGTGTGAGAGGTTGGGTGAGAAAGTTGTTGCAGCTTTCACTCAGTCCATTATGGTCCCTACTTTCTTGGCGGGTCTGGGACAGCAGAGTAAGCCATACTTGGGACACAGAGTTACTACTGGGCTCCTTCCTGAGCGTGGTCATGCATAAACAAGAAAAAAAAAATACAAAAGGACACAAACTTTGAAGATTGAAATGAACTGCTGTGTAGTTTAGCACGTTATGTGCAGTGTGCAATTACCTCTTTATCCTTGATGTGAACCTTTCTGCTAGTTTTTCCAGGGAACGAGCATACTCGCTTTCAATCTCACCCCGTCGACGCAGGTAGTCTGTCAGGTCTTGCAGCTGTTGGTTCTTTTGCTCAAGTTGCAAGTCCAATACTTTCAGTTGGTCTACAAGCTGACAGCGAACCTCTGAAAGGCCGACAAAGACACACTTACTGTGACAAGTAGGTTAGAAACTGGTTTCACTGATCAGAGTTAAGATGGTGTGAAATAAAGAGGTTGTGTTTCTCAGTGTGGCACAAACCCCCACATGCCTTTTACCTTTGATTTGAATGTCGTAGTCCACCACACTGACCCGCTCCTTCCGAAGTTTGACATGGGAACTCATTGTTGATCCAGCTGGGTGGAATTCTGTATAAAGGCAGTGATTGCTTTCATTTATAAGCTAGCATGAAATATCAGCTCTGTTCTGTTAACCCTTTCTTAAAGAGGGGAGTAAAATTTGTGGGCATGCAAGCTGATCAGTATCCTTTGGTGGAGAAAACCTGTTAAACCCACTGTTACACCCTTTCTACTGAAGTCCCCTCCACCACCTCCACCCTTCCCCTTCCTCCAATAGACCCTACACACTTCCTCTTGAGAGACTTGTAGAGCTGAAATGAGCATGTTCGTCTTACTGTAGCACATCTTTTCAACGTGGTCACACTCTGCTGCGTTTCCCTGAACAGCAGGCAACTAGAAAACCGGTTGGCATGTGTTGCTTGCTTGCACCGGGCAGACTGCAGAATTGCACAAGGTGCAAAAATAACTCTAACAGCATCTCAAGCTGCCCTAAAAATAGGACGAACCACAAGGCGCACAACTGTGCGGGGATGTTTGTGCTCAACACTACAGGTGGTTTTACAGAAGAAAAAAAAGGAGGAAAAAGAACTTTCACCAATGAAGGTTTAAATCCTTCTGCCTTTCACTTTACAGCATGTCTTGGCCGATTGAGAAGACTATACCCAGGTATATTCCAGTTCAGGATGAACACGACAGGACATGTTTATCGGAGAACTGGCTTTACCCTGAATACAGTCAGACAAAGAAAACTACCAGGTCTTACTGATAAAGGCTTAACTGATCGTTTCTGATAGGTTTCAGTTTCTTGACACGCTTTTAACTATAATTTATGGGTGAAACTTACACCCAGGCCTATTCTCAAGAAAAAAGAAAGATGAGTGTGGCTGGAGCACGGCGGTTTTTCTTCAGCGCACGATAATCCTGACCTTTGCAAAATACTGCAAATAAAAGGAAATTTATTGCAATTCAAAAAGAGGAAGATCAGAGTGTTGTCTTGCTGGATCATACCCTTTTGTACACAATCAATACGCACACATTCTCTCCATTTCTCCCCCTCAACTTCCCTTTTTTTTGAAAGCCAAACATCACTCATCAGCACTCTCTTTAGCTGAAATGTGCACTCTCCCAACAGATGACCTGCTAACATGACTCTGCTGTATTTCAGCATGGCCCAAACTCCCTGCAAAAAGGAGTTCAATTTTTGCAGCCTGTGTCACCCTTTTCCATTAGTCGCTTCATTCTTTCTCCATGCGATCAGCTGGTGAATCACCACATCCTATCCTCACAACCTGCCGCAGTATTTCATTAAGGCTAGTCTTAACCTTATTGCTACTATAGCTTTTCAGTTCCTGTTTTACTAAAGTAACCTTTTCTACCATTTTAGTGTTTTTTTAAACAAGCACAAACAAGTAGAGGCTTCTATAGTTATGAAACATCACTCGCCCTGGGGGGGTTTGTCTATAGCCAACAACAACATAAAACGATCAAGCAATGCAAACCTTAACTGCATAACAGCATGCGCCTTTTTAAGACAAAAACATGTTCATTAAGCGTTAAACTGACTACCAGTGCTGATTTGGTGAGACAGGAAAACAAATAAAAATCAACAAGAGTGTCATACGTGCAGAGAGTCATACCTGATCAGGAGTCTTGACTAGTCTTTCCTCCACACTAAACTGAACTAAATGATGCCAGTTAATAGCGCAGTAACTGCTTCACCTCCCCCTCACTTTGGACACGGATGGATGTGGGTGGAGTGGAAGTCATCTCTGACTGACTCTCTCTCTCACACACACACACTTACTTACTTCTGCTGTTCTCACCCTCACCCTACCCCCCCCCCTTTCCCTCCCCGCTTCTTCTCACTCACACATTCAGTTTGAGCCATCAGTGTGTGACTGTGCATGTGACGTGTGAAAACCTTTTCTAGTATAGTCCTTCCTCTCTCTCTCTTTCGTGCCTCCTCTTGAACCCCACAGCAGGTTTTCAGTTCAGTCAAACAACAGCTGTTTTCACTGATTGGGCTCTCCTTGCCGGTTCCTGAGTGAAATCAGCTGCACTGAGCTGACTTCAGTTGAGGGGGAAAAAAGAAAGTTATTTTGAGTATTATTATTATTATTAGGTTTTTTTAAATATATATTTTTTATACACTGTCATGGCTACAATATGAGTGAGCGGGAGCAACCTTGACTTTAAAAAAACAAAACAGTCAGTTATGTAGATTAGGAGGGAAAAGAAAAACAGAAACAAAGACCACTGTTGCTATGAAATCATAACACAGAAAGATTTACAACAACATTATTGACTTCTCTGTCTGAGAGGTGTTAAACAGCCTGCTGGTGTGAAGCTGAGCTTCTTGCAATTTGTCAGAGAGAGGCTAACTCTTTCAAAGATCATTAGGCATAATTTGTTCTTATCTGTCACGTACTTCTCTTTCACTCGTTTCCTTCCTCAAACAGACAAACAGACGGTGTTGCACAAACAATTAAAAAAAAACAACTGGTATTTAACTTACGCATTCTGGATGACATTTGAGAAAGAACAGTTTGATTGAAGGGAGTCTCTGTTGAGTCCCAATGCAGCAGGGAGCTGTGTCTTTCAGTTTAAACCGAGAATGACCTTTGAACCTTGCTACACCCTACATAAAAGTAAACAAAATCTTTGAGCTCAACTGTAAACAGTCATGGCCCAACTATTCAGTTCACTGCAGGAAAAGTAAACTCATCTGAATTTAGTTACACTTAACTATGTCCCATTGTGACCTGTTATAGAGACCCATGACATTCCTGGCATTGAACTCTTGCTGTAGGTATTGTGAAAAGCCATGCAGTAGTCTTTCTCCGCCAGTAGGAGTCACTAAAGTATAAATTTGACAGTAAAGGCACTTCCCCACTTGTGAATAATAGGCTTAAAAATGGGCTGAGTAGATGACACTTTAATATGAACTTCAGCATTCCATTACTACATGGCATCGAACATGTTTCCACAGTGGCCGTGCTTACAAGCACTCACTTTTACAGATCAAAATCCTTCCGATTGAAGACTTTTGTGCCAGCTGTTCTAGTATTTACACCTACCTACACCAATACTGAACTGGTGGCATGCTCCAACCAGTTACCTGAGGACAGATATCTATGGTGTCCTTTCCATCTTGAATCGTATGTATTAAAAACAAACTCTTTGCAGAGGATTAGTTCAGCTTAGAAGCTACAGTACCATTTTGGAAAAAGGACGTAGCCCACAGAGGAAGAATGCAGACACAATGAGTTGGGTTAAATCCTTAACCTGGAAGAATTTTTCTTTTTATCCGTTTATTCCAACATCATCAACGTTTTTATCCTATTTTTTGGGTCTTTAACTTTTAATCAGATCGTCACTCACAATACCAAGGTGGCAGTTGAATAACTGTTATCAGACTGCTGGTTTTCGTTCAGAGATGCTCATTATTTGATGCCTTTTTTGACAAAAATGAAATACAAGAAGTATTATTTGACAGATTTATTCTGTTAAATAAAGACCAATTGAAAAGTACAGGCGGTCTTAAACCTCACACAGCTTTTACAATCACAGTAATCCAATAAAAATGACCAGACCAGTAATTAATTTGTATTTAATTTAGATAACTGAGTAGATTGAAGCTATTAACAAAGTCTCTGCTCATCACTGCAGAAAAAAAAACAACCCAGAATTACCAAAAATAAAAAAGTGACGTAAATGTTGGAGCATTTTTGGTGCCGAGATAATCAGTGTGTAAGGTCAGGGGAAATGGCAAATAGATAAAAACTGGATGCAAGGGATGATTTTAAAAATGTCTAAAGCTGCAGCGTCACTGTGAATCAGAAGAGGAATCTTTAACATCTGTGCTTTCTGTTGCCTCGCTGACTTCGCTCAGTTCTTTGCTCTCTCCTCCGCTGTCTCTCTCGCTTTCTCTCTCATGGTCACCGGACCCCGACGGACTTTGGCCAGATTGTGCCTCTTGACCCGGCACGCGTGCTCCGGGTTTCCTCAGCTGTGAGATGACCAGGGGACCCAAAAAAAAGAAAAGAAAAAAAAGTAACGCATTCAGATTTTGGTCACATGCTCATATTAAGGGGCAATTCAGAGTGAGTGACAATCAAACTAAAGTAGCTCATATTTTTTTTAAAAAAAGATGTAAAATCAAGTACCTCATCAGCCATGTGGGCCAGGTCTCTTTTCATGGCATAGGCATCCTCCCCATCTGCGTAGTATTTGGGCTCTACTTCACTAATCCTGTGAAGGGACAAGATAGTAGATCAGTTAAAGTTGGTGCAAAAACATTCGGCTGTTCAGCACATTTTCAAACTGAATTTTAATGGATTTTAAAAATGAGAGTTATAGTTGAAACTATCACTAATCCAACCAACATTCTTTCATCTATATACACAAAGAAACAATCATGTAGGAAATGACCCTTAAAACTATTTTTAAAGCATGGTGAGGGAAAGAAAAAAGTAGACTGAGCCTTTAGAGACTTTAAAAAACAAAACAAAACCCAGTAGTACCTGGGAATAACAATCTTATAATTATCTACCAATATAAGTAGCCATCACATTTGTGATACAGTTATCTGATTAATTATACTAAACACAGGTCAAATTATATCGACTACCAGTATAATTAAACTATTGTAGCCCAGCTGATGTAAATAAAATAAAAGTTGTAGTAGTACATGAATTACATTTAAAAAACTTAACAGTAATGTTGCTAGAGACACAGAAATACTTACTGGAATTTAAGTGTGTTTGAGTACAGGTGCAGGGCAGCTCGGTTGCTGCAGTGGGGAGAAAACATTTCTTGAAAACAGGAGCACTTACAGATACAATTGGAGTCAGAACACATTTTGTACATAGGAATTCATACAATCATTTATGTACACAAAGAGATAAACCCTAGTTTGCAACAAGCCAAGAGTCCGCAGTACCTCTTGCGAACATGAAGTGAGACATATTTAGCATTGAAGTTTTCTATCATGGCCCGACTGGCTTGATCCATCAGCTTCTGAGCCAGTCCCAGACGTCGGTGGGACCGCTTTACTGCCTAGAAGACAGAGTGTTTTAGGTGAAGCTGGTGGTTTAAGAGCTAAAGATGTTAAGATTTGAACTGGGAGTAACCAAGAAGGATGCGATCAGAAATTAGTACATCAGAGAGACAGCTCAGGATGAGCAGTTTGGAGATAAAGAGGCAAAGATGAGCTAGTTTGCAAATGTGCAATGGAATAATAGTGGATATATTATGGAGGTGCCAGACAGTAAGAAGTGATGAAAACCATGAAGAATGACAGAGGAAATGCTAGCAACATGATGAGATTGGAGGCAGATCCGCTGTGGTGAACCCCCTAAAGGAGCACCCAACAGAATATGAAGGAAAAAGAGGCAAAGGAGTTGTCTGAGGTGTCGCAGGTGCTCCGACTCACCAGGGATGTTATGTGTCCATGAGGTACATCATCTGGGTCCTCCTCCCTATAAAGAGTTTGCAAAAGTCATAAGAATCAATGCGTTTTCTTAAAAGTGACAGCAGGATACAAATATGCTCGCTAATACTTACATCTTTGCGAGCACATATCCCACAATTTTCCCATTTTCATCCTCTGCTATATATGAGAGCTGGAACGATTTAAACGGAAGAACAATTAGAGACATAACCGTACACATTGTAATGGTATGTATGATAGGAGCAGTGCCATTAGCAGAGACAGGGAAACTGGAATCAGCACTGCTCGTTACCTGTGGCCATGACAAGCCGTGATAGAAGTAGTATTTCATCTGATAATTTTCTGGAAGACACAGCAGGTTACAGTGCTGCATGTTCATTAGGTCCTCCGGCTGAAAGAAACACATAAAAAGGGTCACACAGCTGACCGGCGATATCTGCTCAGCTAAACTGCAGCCTGTAACGTTAGCTTAGCTCTGTGCAGAAACAGCGTGGCTCTCGAGTGAATTTCTCTATACTTACCCGTGCGTTTCGTATGTTCATTTTCCAATATCAATTACTAACAAGATTATGAAAATCAAAAAAATCTATTATACTACACTGGTCAAGTGATTCATAACAGTTCCCCTACGGGGTTAAAGAGCCTGTTTCGCTAGCTAACTAAATGGACCTGCTAGCAAGGAAAGCAAGAGGAAGGAGCGTGCCACAATAACGTCATACACGTCCGCTCTGCCGGGATTTCAGAATAAAAGTTGTACCTATTGTATTAATCGGATTTATTTTGGAAAAAAAAAAGTGGCCATAAACCCTTGCTGTGGCCCGACGGTGGCTAACATAGACAGACAACTATAGGTAATTTGAGCTTATACATTTTTGTAAATTAACACGGAACTGATGCACACATTTTACTAGACAACATTCTCTGTTTAGATGAAGATTTTTAAATAATATGATAAAAAATGCAACACATTTTCAAACACTTCCAAACACAAAAGAGGATTTTTTAATAGACACTGGATTAAACAAACTGTTGTTGAAAAAGTTTATATTAGAGATTTTTAAAAAATGTAAGAGCAATCCCACAAAACAAAAACAAACAAAACAAAACCAAAAAAGCCTGCTAAAATATAAAAATGTTGCTTCAGCACTAATCAATTAATACTCTCAACCTTCGGATAAACTGCTTTTTGCAGTAAACGATAGTTTAGTTAGATAGTTATTTATTTTACTTTGCTGTCCTCCTTGCTGCATATGTCAGATTTATAGTGTGTCTCATTCTGTTATTTAAAAGTCTCATCCTTGTTAAAAAAAATAAATTACGGTAGACTGTAATTTTAAATACCATCTATCTTCTACTTGTCGCCCT